AAAACCAATTAACAAATCCCATCTAAATAATTTGTCGAACTTTCTTGCTTGAAATTTATCATGTAAATTTTTAAGTATTTAACAAATATAAGTCCTTGTTTGGCTCCATTGTAATGGAAATTTGGCGAAAATGAGTTTTAAAATAGTGATTTTTCAAAAAAATGTATAATTAAAAAGAAAGAATTTTTTTCGATTTACGTTAGTTTGAAAACATGGAGCCAAACATATAAATTCAAAAATGTCTTGAAATATATCCGGTCTCACATATACTCAACTGACATTATTTCTTAATAAAGTTATGAATATAAATCATATAACATAAATGCAAACACTACCAAAAACATTATTTTTGTGGCCTCCTTTGAATTATTGAGTTAAAATTTAAATTATTTATAAATTAAATAATATTGTACTTCCTTCGTCCCATAAAGATAGATTTGTTTTTCATTTTCGTCTCAAATTATAGGCCACTTTCCTAGTTGGTTTAGTTTTCTAATATGTCCTTATTTAATGTTCATTTTTATCAACAAATATGAATCACTCCTATTTAAATTGTTACTTAAATGTAGGAATATATTAGAAAAAAATGTAAGAATAATTTATATTTTTAACTATATTAATTATAGATTCTTAATTAATGTGAAAATGATAACAGCTTAACATTTCTCAACTTTTCAATAAAAATGACATTACATTTTTTATAATTTTTTTTTTCATAGCGAATGGTTGATAATAGTTTTTGATAAAAATTTTAGCAAATTTGCTAAAAGTTTATGAAATGCATGGTTTAAAAATTGATAAAAATTATGAATTTCATGAAATGTATGGTAACAATTAATTATTGATTTTAACCTTAACTTTTAACATCTTTTTGAGATATATCAAACAATCACTAATTAGGGAGTAAATAATATTTTTTCTCAAATCAACAAATAAACATTAAATAAATAATTTGTTATACCCCAGTATTTTCATGGGGGAATTTTCACCTGGACAGGTTTATTTTTATAAATATTAATATATGTCTTTATCCAATTTTAAATTATTGCTTTAAAGGGGAAATTAATATACGCACTTAATTATTAATGTTAATGATAGGATAAAAAAAGATGTACAATGAAGTCAACACCTCATATTAAATATTTATAATTAAATAACAAATCATTTAGAGCTTGTTTGGTTTGGATTAAAATCTGATTTTAATCTAAATTAAAGTTAAACAGTTAATATTAATCGCATCTTTCATAGGTCCCACAATTTTTCAACCACGTATTTAAAATTTTTTTATCACAATCTACTAAAAAATTCTAATTTTAATAACTTCCAAACACCCTCTTAATATACAATGTTGATTTTAAAGTGATTCCGAAATTTATGATGAGTCTACTGAATATTTCAAAATGCACAGTATATCTCCACGTCCCTGCATCAAATAAATTTTGTTTTTGAAGATCATATCCCTCTATTTTTCTTTTATTATTTATAAAATGAGCCACTTAAAGTAGTGGATTTGAAAAATAAAAAATAAAAATAATATATATATATATATATATTTTTTTCAGATAATACGAAAAATTTTATTTATAAACAATATTTTAGAAATCCAGATCATGAATAATAATTTTAACAGGTTTTCAACCATTTTTTGTTCTTCTAATTAAATTTTGATTATTCTAGATATAATCTTATTTATTGCATGCTTGACAAAGATTTTTCAAGTGAAAAACAATTTTTTTAGCGAATTTATTGTTACAAAGTGAGAAAAAGTTATGGATCTTATAAAATATATAATTGAAAATGATTTTTAAAAAATCTTTGTCGAAAAAGATAATGTCTTCTGCAATGTGATTAAATTGCTAATAAGTACGAAGACAACTTTGTGATACTCAGAGTTTTAATAAATTGTTATATTAGGCTAAAATATATCAATTTCTAGATAAAGAAAGAATGGAGTACTAACGACAATTGTTGAAAGTTATTGACAGTGAAAGTTTGAAGTTGCTCCATATAGATTTCGATACTTAAATCAAGAAGGAAAATTAGTATGATATGTAGAGAGTTGCAATGGAAAAAGTTGGTCGATAATGAATCAGTATTGAAGTTCAATACTCTATCAATAGATTCAAACTCCACTACTCAATGGCATAATTACTTGGAAAAATTGCAGCCAAGGTGCTAAATCTTTTGTTTATTAGCAGATTTGAACCAAATCTTTCATTTATTTCACTGAAGGTACCAAACCTGTTCAGTCCAGAATGATGGTTATTGTCTATTTGAATTAGGGCTGGGCAAATCTTCCGAACCGAACCGAACCCGATGGTTCTTTTAAATTTAATACTTGAACTGATATCTGAATTGAGAACCGACGGGTACGGTTTGATTCTCGATTCTAGACCAAGAACCGAAGAACCGAATCTTTCTAATTTTTTTTTATATTGAATAAATCAAATTATTTTAATTTTAATTTTTTAAAACAAATTAACAATTTCTAAATTTAAATTTTTGGTCCAATAATTTGTTTCATTTCTAATTTTTTAATTTTTGGCCCAATTACCCATTTTATTACTTTATTTCTTAGCCCAACAAAGATCCAATCCACTAAATAACCCTAAATATCTACACTAAAGTGCATAACGCTGTCTCGACTCTCATAGGCTCGCTGACATTCCAAGACCTATACAATTGCCGGCCAACACTGTGATATCCAATCGAAGCTGTGACCTCCGTCGATCGAAACTTTGACCGTAGCGATCATTTGAACAATGCAGTCTACTAGCCTCTGACATTCCAAAATCGTTGAATGTATCATTGATTGTATTTATATAATGTTGTTATAAATGTTAAAAAATTTAATTATAGTACGGAACCGAGCCGAACCGAACGGAACCGAATCCGAATGGTTCCATAATTATATTTGGACCTGACGGTTCCATTTACTAGATACCCGAAAATTTTGGTTCCGATCGATTCTTTTTTAGAATTGAACCGAACCAACCCGCGTCCACCTCTAATTTGAACATCAAAACTGCCAATTGAACCCGGAAATTAAAAATTTAAAGATTGTTTGATGGGAATTAAAATCAGATTTTTAGTGAATTTTGATGAAAATCTATGAAAGATGCGGTTAATATCTTCTCCACTCACACCCAACACCTGTCCACTCCAAACCAAAAACCCACCAAAATAATCTTATCCTCTCTAGTTCACAAGCCGAAATCACGTCTCGTCAGAGCCGAAAGAGAAACAAGAAAACTCTTTGATTGAAAAGTATCCCTCACAGTTTCAATTACTGACAACTCAACCCCACATGTCACCTTTCAGATGTGGGCCCTAGGTGGCCGTGGCTTGTACCGTTCTCTTGTTCCTTAACCAATTCTTTTGATACTGTCGTGAGTCACTCTCTATCGCCGCAATCTATGTTCAGGTTGCAGTGATATCCCTAGGCCACCTCATGGCAACGACGATTACACGAAGAGTGTTCTTAAAGGGGCAGAATTGAGAAATTAGTTTGAATCCAGGCTCTTTCAATATAAATGAGCATGTATTATCACCATTTTTGCCAATTCAAGGAGCGGGAAACCCTTACGTTGTTCATATTGTTAGTGCTATGAAGATATTTTATAAATAGAGGTTGAGCTTTTGAGTGGCGATGGTAGCAAGCAGCGGCATTTTGGTGGTTGTATGTGTTTTGGTTTTATAGGCGGATACTGTGGGTAATGATAGTGGTAGCAGGCGGAGGCGTTTTAGTGGTTTTTGGATTAGGGGTGAGTGGAGAAGTTGAGGGGATTATTTTTATTTTTGGGAGGGCAAGGTTTGATTTAATTCTTTGATTTTAGTTTTATTAATATGAAAATGTAAATTTACCCATTTGCCCTTTAAAAATTGGTCAACAGTTGGTCGGATTTTTATTTTTGGTCAACTAATAGAGAAACTAACGGTTTGTGTTAATTTGGACTCCATATACTAGTTTTTTTTTAAAGGTTTTTTACTTCCGGAGGTACAAATGAAAGGTACGGGCAACGAAATGTTTGATATCTTGATTGCAATTTTTCCTAATTACTTTTATAATCATGAATCATAATTTCATATTTCAAGTACTCGTGTAATATTAACTATTTACTTGTCCCTTCGATTTCATTTTGAAAATATTATAGTGGAGCTTATCAAGCATTCACCATACTTATAATAATTAGAAGTCGTTGACCTTTAATTTGGTGCAAATAGAATTCTTTACTTTAATTTATGAGCAATCATGAGATTCATTCCGCTCCATTTAGACTACCCTTGTGTTCAATTCTATTGCACGAGTAACTTTTATACTTTTCTACATACTATAGTGAGGACGTTTTTAACCATCAAAACAATCGTTGGGTACCTTAAGCCCTAAGTAAGACGAAACCTATAAGATTAACGTTCACAAAAATAAGGAAACAGCCTTAAAATAAACCGTTTTCTAAGAAGTAATTTTTGGGTAATTGGCAATTTTTCTTCTTTAATAAGAAAACCTGAAAAGTAGTCAAATTGAGAATAAATTGTCCCAAACAAATATTAGATATAATTTTGAAAACTAAATATAGGTGTTTCAATTTTCCACAATAATTGTATTCACAAATAAAAATTCAAAATAGTTTCATTTTTAAATGAATTTACGCAATCCTATTCCAATTTGTAGTTTATGCACAACGAATCGGTTGATACAAATCGCTAGATGAATATAAATGTATACTTTTTTCCTCGTGAGAGCTTCTATTCATATGGGGAGGGGAAAAATTGTCTATTTTAGTTCTCCTTGCGGTTAACTTTATGAATTTGAGTATGACTAGTTCTCACAATATGACAGACATTATGTACAAGACTTGTGTATAAATTTATCTCCATATGACTAATCCACAATTACTAACTATTCCAATTTCATAAAGACGAGTTGTAGCCTAAACTCCACAGAAATTTGAATGGAATAAGATTGATTGATTCATTTTTCCTTTTTTTAAAAAATTATATTTAAAATAAGAATCACTCAAATGTCTTGATCATGCATTAAGAATTTTAAACCCTAATGAATGTACATATATATTTTCCATCTTCATTACTACTTCAAACGAGTTCCACTATTACAGGAATTATCCTATTATGGATACTAATTGAAGCTTAACTCTGCAATGCTTACTGATACTTCACTTCACCACCTAACCACCCTACCCCCTCTTCGTCATCTTCTTGACTGTACAAAATTTTCTTGGAGTGATTTGGCTTCAAACTTTCACCCTCCACCACCTCAATTCCACTCATCAGAACAGTACCAATGGAGGTTTGGAGCTTGATCATCAGAAAAGAAAGTACTGCATGATTCCTCACTGGAGAAAAAGTTGTGCTCTTCAATTTTCACAAACTGTGGCATATATGATTTTTGGACATCTTCAAGAGTGTCTGAAAACTGGAAACTGCAATTCATATTCTTAACAATATCCAAGAAATCTTCATGTGGGCTCTGATGAAGAATCACATCCTTGGTGAAAGATGAAATAGCTGCAGTTGGGCTATTGTTAGTTTCTTCATTCAAGATTGCACTTGAATAATCAGTGCTATCAGATGATCTGTTTTCTTTGAAATTCTCAAAGTTTGCATCAGAATCTGATTTAGCGTTGCGTTTTTCACCAGATTCTGACTTTACTGCCTCTTTCTTGACAGAACCCTTGCTTTCAGTACCTTCGTCTAGCTTTGATTTCAGGTCCAGAATCTGAAAAAACAGGCGGAAAATTAAAGATTTTATAGTGTGCTCGACTGAATCATTGCACATTTGGACATGATGAGTTTTGTACCATATAAAGACGTAGGGTGCATCTTAAAGGTTAACTTTATTATCGATGTTTATATTTCGATATTTAATTGCGGTAGAACTTATCCCTTAATACGCGTTTTAATGATCTTCATAAACAAACTAATTAAAGAATTTTGTAGTATACCTTTCTAAATAGAGCTTCATTATCACTTTGGAGAGTTTCATAGTTAAGTTTAAGGGAATCATAACTGGCTTTGAGAAGGCCATAATCTCTCTCCAATTGCTTAGTTTTCCACCGTGCACGGCGGTTTTGGAACCAAACCGCCACCTGCCGTGGTTGAAGCCCAAGTTCTTGTGCCAACTTCACCTTTCTATCAGGTTCGAGCTTATTTTCGAGTTCAAAATTCTTCTCTAATGCCTTAACTTGATCGACGTTTAATCTCCTCTTCTTTTGGCCTAATTCTTCAACACAACCTTCCTCATCTAACCCTTCAAACATGCTCCGAAACTCCTTTGCGTAAACATGATTGTTCCCTTGCTCATGTTCATCTACACCAAACAAAACAACTTATAATTAAAAATTAAGTAGAAGTGAGTAAAATAAGAAAAAGTACAGTGGGACAAGAAACATATGAAAACCTGTAGTATTAGGACAGATGGGCATCAGAGCACCCAATGAATCACTACTACCAAATCTCTTCATGCTTGATGAGTGATGACTGTATTAAAATCTATTGAATTTAGATCAGAAGTAGCAAAATCTGTTCTTATAGTGCACTCAAAAACATATAAGTCTCTTCATTTTCAAGAAAAGGTGGAACCCATATTCACAAAAGTCATAACCAGAGGATCCCAAGAGGCATAGATTTGTATACATGTAAATTCACTATACAGCTTTTTGTCTTTCTTGGGTGCTCCATTTTTCTCCTTTTTTATCACTTTCTTTGCCTCTGAATTCATCAAAAAGAAAAAGCAAACAAAACCCAAAACCCAAAAATATGAGTAATCAAAAGCTGCACTTTTTCTTTACATAATTATTACTTCAATCAATACAATACAATACAAGAACCATATATTGAACAACAGTGGTGGGGGTGGGGAAGAGGGGTGGAAGAGATCAGTAGACCAATTCAGTACCCAGCTGACATCCCAAATTTTGTCTTTAAATAAAACCAAATGGGGTCACAGATAGGGTTAGAATCTGACTGGGGTTAGGTATATCTGTGCAATATGGGTTTGGGTACAAATGAAAATGAAAATGAAATGAAACTCAAATTCAAATTTTTTGCACCGGCAATAGCTGGTGGTTTTCGACCGTTTTGTGGAAGATATTTTAATTTTTGGCGGTGCTAATGTGATAACAGGTTTTGATGAGCTGTGATAAGTGGAAATTTTTGGGATGTCTGGTGCGGCTTGGCTTGAGTCGAGCTGGTTTTAGATTTTGGTAGGGTCAGGGAATAGTACGTGATATAGCACGACCGCAATCAATCGAGTTGAGATCTGCTATCCAAATTGGAGTCCATTCAGTAATTTATTGATATATCATTTTACACATATTTTTAAGCACAAGGACATTGAGCGGAAAGTTAAAATTGTTAGTTTAAAGTGATGTGTCAATGAATTATTGAGTGAATAGTAAGCTGGACAGTAAATTTTGTATAGCAGCTCTTAACTTGATTTAGTCAAGTTTGATTTGGATAAAAATTAATGTTTTAGTAAATTTTAATAAAAATTGTGAATCATATAAAAATGTGGAGTTGAAAATAAAATCTAAGTAAATGAATTTAAGAAATATACTAAAAAAGCTTTAAACAGTCATAGGTTAATGGGTAAATCGTAAATTTAGTCCCTAACCTTTGGTCAAAGTTGCGATCTCGTCGTCAACTAATTTTCGTATGCCTTTTGTCCTCAACCTTTGAAAAGATAGTAATTGAGGACCTCTTTTCTGTAATTTTTTCAGGCATGTAAGCTACGCGCTTCATTTATATAAATGGTAAAAATGTCAACCCACTTAATCCATTAAAAATAATAATAAACAGTTTTTAAAAAACAATACATGAACAAACCAAACATGGAGGTTAGTTTTCTAGGTTAATGACCCGACAAAAATCTTGAAGATGTTCTTAACATGCTAATTTCTCATATTGAGAACAAAATCAGACTTTGGCCAAAGGTGGGAGACTAAATTTGCAATTTACACATCATTATACTAAAAGAGCATGTTTACTATCCCTTTCTTCATTTTATCATTATTATTATTATTTTTTTTTTTGGCAATAAACTTTGGATCTTCTCTTCTGACTACATGCATGAATGGTTGATCCAATATGAGACATTAAATGATAGGTTTACGTAAATGCAATGTCAAATAATTCATTTAATTGAACCTATTATTTGTGACCACTTAGACTGATGCTTCAATAGTACTAAATAACATTATTTAATATTTTGTGGTTTACATATGATGAGAATTGAATACAAGAAACCTTTTAACGTTGCCAGGTATAACAATTGCAGCTTGTCATCCTCTAATTTTTGATATTTATACCGGCAACATTTTGTTAAGCCAGACATATCAGCTCCCCCTAATTCTGCAACTCACACTAATTGTGCAGTAACTGATGAGCAAAGATAGGAAATTCCAGCATTATTCCTATAGGTGTCTAAACTTTCCTCTTTATTGATCTTTCTATGTATAGCATAGGTTCTATATTTGACCTATAGATCTATCTAGCTGTATGATACAAAGTGTATGTCTCCATAGCTTCTATATAATACATGCTATACAATAGGTTTGGTATAGTGACCAAAACCTTTCTCTTGCAATTCTTATTTTGTATCAGAGCTCATTAAATTTCAATGGATAATTCGATTCGATTAAAACTCAATAAATGAATATACAGATTTCAAAATTGGTCTGCTCAAACGAGTCACCATCTTGCGGAGTATGTTAAGGGATATAATCTCACATCGAATAGAGATAAAAACATAGACCAACTTATAAGTTCTTGGACTACTTATCTTAACAAGATTGATCTTTTAAAATGGAACCCTAAATCTTAACATGATCATAATTTGATTTTTAGTAGATAGTTTCTATCGAATTGACACATAAAAAACAATTTTTTTAGGGTAGAGGAATGAGAGGAACGAAAATCCGAGAGACACATAAAAACCAATTTTTTTAGGGCAGAGGAATGATAGGAACGAAATCCAAGAGTGGGTGGGAGCAAAGACTTGGCTGGATGGGAGCAGGTGCTAGGAGGGGTTGGGAGTGGAAGTCTCATCTAGCCTCGAACTTCAGAACATCTGTCTACTTTAATGCCATATTAGGAATTACTGATGTAAATAGAATTTAGAACCAAAAAAATTCACTAATCTACATGGGGTTACAAATATCAATAAAAAGAAAAATTCTACATTTGTTACACAATCAAATTGTTAAGAGAACAATAAAAATAATAGGGTAGTTATTAAGTCTTTACGTAAATCAAGGGGTGCACGTGCGTCGATTCGATTTCAAAGAGAATCGAACTGAATCGAGAACCAATGGTTATCTTACAATGGAACCATTGGTTCATTCTATTATTATGGACCGAACCAAATGATTCAAGTTTGATTTGATTTGGTTGGGTTTCATAACCAAAAGTTTTAAATAATTATTGCAAATTTATGTACATCCAAAATCAAAACAATATAAGTATAGTCTATTTGGTTCAAGTTTGATTTGATTTGGTTGGGTTTCATAACCAAAAGTTTTAAATAATTATTGCAAATTTATGTACATCCAAAATCAAAACAATATAAGTATAGTCTATTTATGGATTATAATAAATAGACTATACTTATTTGGTATTGCTATATTTTGTCCCTGAAACGAGTGCTCCAAATGCTTTTCACGCATCTTTTTTTATTGTTAAGCGGATAATTTCCGTTTATTTAGTACCTAAGTACTAGAAAATAGTGAGAGATTCGAAATATCGATGTCCAGAATAAAAAATTAAGAACCTTTCCCACAAATTCAATAAATTCGAAACCGCCATTATGACATTCTTAAAAACAAAATGATTCTTTTAAAAACCAATCAATCTTTATTAGTAGGCAAGACCCTTCAATCACCAACCTTTTTCCAAGTCAATTGCACGTCTTTCATGGCCTTCAAAAGAACAGCACAAGTCAATTTTCACATCTTTCTAAAACTTTCAAAAACCTTTTTATTTCGTCTTAGAACCACATATTAAGAGCCCGTTTGGTACGAATTAAAATTCAATTATAACCAATCTAAGTCAAAGTCAAACAAATAATATTGACCACATCTTTCATGTGTTTCACAACTTTTCAACCACGCATTTCAAAAACTTTTATCACTATCTACAAAAAAATCTAATTTTAATCCCCACTCGTTAATTTTCTCTAGTGACAGCTTTTTTAGGTGGGAAATTAATGGGATCCCACAACTTTATCTAATAATATTCCAAATTGATGTGATTTAATAATTAATTAAAGCTAGTGATTAAGATTATAATCTTGAAAAGCTCATTTGTGGTTAATCAACGCTACACGTGTGCAGTGCAGGTGGTTTTATGCTGCTTTCCCATGTTAAGTGTACAAAGCAAGTGATTATTTAGGTTTTATATATAGGAATAAAAAGTATTTGAAGTTGGTTGGACTATGATGCCAAGTTCAGTTCAATTAAAGGCTATGATGAAATGGGTTTGGTCCAATAACTTCAAACGTAAGGCCCAAATAATCCAGACCCAATTCCAAACATATGCAAAGCGTGTTGAATTGTGCTACTTTAGTTGCTACTTGGTTTCAATTGATCTGAACCTTTGATCTCAATCCAAGATCAATGGTGGTTACAAGTGTTTGGCTGAAACCCTAGGGATATCCTTTCATTATGTTTCTATGTGTTTGGCCATCTACTAGAGAGTTCTGTGAGTCCTTTTTCGTCTTTATTTTCAACCTCTAGTTGGATGATTCTATGATTCTTTGATGAGATTGGGAGTCTAAATGATTCTATTTTGAGAAGAGGATGATTTAATGTGGTTGAGTTCTTTTGATCCAAATAAGTAACTTCAAAGCATTTGTTTTGGAGAGTCTAAATTGATATGAGGCTTCTATATTCAAACATAAGGGTATCTAAGACAAAATTATACTAATATCTTGACATCATTCCGAGCAACTCCTGAAGAAGCATGTGCTACGATAGCTTAAAATGAAAAAGAAAAAAAAAACATATTTCAAAAAGAATCCGAACCTCATGATAAATTAAAACAAAGAAGCCCCCAAAAAGCAAAACAGAACATAATATAGCAAGACGATAAAAAGAATAAAATCGTGCTCAATGGGATCTTTGATGCCTTGGTTATAGAAAGCTTGTATTTTCGAGTTTAAATCTCTAAATCTTTTTGTCCAGATCTTGTGTATTTTGATTAATCATAGTTATGAGTTATCAATATGAAAGTTGGAAATTTGAATTAAAATTAGAACAATTCATAAATGTAAATTCAAGCTTTTGAATAGAGTCATAACTTAAAACGGGGTTGTATTAGTATGCTTGATCTGTATTTAGATAGCTCGTTATATGCTGTTTATAGACTCGACCAATTTTTTATTTTTATTTATTATTATTATTATTTGAGCTTTGTTTGAAGGTGACGAGAAATGGAAGTCCGAGATAGTCCTTTGTTTTTATATTTTTTTTTGTTCTTGTTTATTTACGTGTAGAAAATGAAATAAAAAGTCGTAGTAGATCACAACTCTAGTTTTTAAAGGGTTGAGATGTGGCACGACCTCTTTTAGGTTAGACCAAGCCCATAAGGAAGATCAATTTTCCACTTCAATTCTTAATTTCTACTCCATCCTCGGTCTCAAGGAAAGTAATATCATATTTTAAGAAGCCCTTTAATTGAGTTAATTTCATTTTTGGTCACTGAACTTTTAGTAAAATCTCCATTGAGTCACCCGACTTAGGTTTATAGCAATCTGATCGCTAAAAAATTTATTCAATGATATTGACTCCGTTACCTCCATATACCAAACTTATTGACCCAATCCTCCATTACCCCCGTTTCTAGGTAAATACGCCACCTTGTCATGTTGTGACTGCAAGTTTTTGAAATTGGGAATGAATAGAGCTTTGAATATGCTCAATCGAATGATTACTATCGATTTTTAAACATGATATATTTTTAAAACAATGAAGAAAAACTCGTACTTTAATATATTGTGTTGTTTTATTTGAAATATTGCGTGCGCTTTGCTCGTTTTATTGAAATGAAAAGCATTTCCTACTCACAAAACTAAGACTTATATTTCGTCCTACTGAACAAGAAAATGAAGATTTTTGTTTATTTCATATGCCATTCAATCATTTGTCATGGGCATACTTAATTTTGTATGACTATTAACTTTATTGGTTTGAAGCAAGTTCATGAATCACGACAATTTAAGAGTAGATAGGAAAAATTTGTCAATGTAACTGACGATGAGGTACTCAGACTATCATTAAACAACTCTTAATCGAGGGATGAGCTAACAAAACAAAAGCTAGTTTGGCAAAACAAAATCCTTCAAGGTTCCAATATGTTTACTTATGATCATGCCCATGCAAATAAGCTAGTCCAAGCCATCACAAACATATAGTGGTGACCCCCCCCCCCAACCTGCGCGCCTTTCCTTGTGTTCAAGGAATGTGCTCCACCATCGGAACGATCCCATCCCATGGACTAGAGTATTTCGTGATTCCTATAAATAGTAGAATCATCTCACAAGCAAGTAGAGTAAGTATAATATCTTGATTCCTAAATGTTTATATAAATATTGTTCTCCTATCCACAATGGACAGGTTAGACTATCCACTTGTTGATGTGCTGGAAGAACCTTACTTACGATTCTCTTGAAATGTGAGAACTTTACTTAAAGTTCTTTTTAAAGTGGGTAAGATAAGACTTTCACTATGGACAGGAGAATAGGAGTGATGTTTTTATACCCGAGTTTATTCATGGTGGTTCTTTCAAAATTAATTTTGATCTACAAACTCGTATTTTGAATTAGGTGAATTATTGGGATAGAACATGCCTAGTCAGAATCGGGCTACGCCTTTGTAAGCATCATTTGCTGAACTAGTCCGAACCCTAATTCTTTCTTGATTGTTGAACTATTTTTGCGCCAAAACCTTAAGTTGCGGACTTCGGTGCCAAGAATGAAAGAATCAGCACTTTTACTGCACTAGGCCTAGAGATTGGGGATCATCTGTAAAAATTTCCCTGAAACTTTTGACATCGACCTTCATAACAATATAATATCGACTTTAATTTTCTTTACAACGAACTTATTTAATTTATTTTCGACAAGGCAAAGCATCGTCAATAAAGCCTAAGCTTGATTTACAATAAATCACTTTTTTAGAGTATGTTGTGTATGCCGTCTTTGTCAATAAGACCTTGTGAATCAATAGAATGTTAAATTTAGTATTGAAGGAAGGGAACCGGATAGAAAGGGAGCTACGACAGTAGTTTTAGTCGGTCCAGTGGCGGAGCTAACTTTTTCCGTAGCTTAATAAACTATCTTAAATTTGTCCAAACCTTCCATGATGCATGAGTTTATTAACTTAGGTTACACCATAATTTATATATTTCATCTGAACGACTTTTTGAATAATCCGAGGGGTCTTTAAAAGATTTTTAAAATATTAATACGACTATTTTAAATATTACCCATCTATTTACTAGGCCATGACTAAAGTTGCCATGCCTAGTGGATTGTAACAAAATTTCCATAAATCTTTTAGACTTTGGGTTGACAAAGATAAAAGTTGAGCTAATTCTACTATCACGTTTGATTTTATAAGAGAATATGTTAGGTAACAATATCGACATATCGCAATTTACATTTTTTTATTTATTTATAATAACTATTGTTAATATTAGTTGAGTAAAATTAACAAGAACAACTTTCACGCCTAATAAAAGATAAATTTTGAAAAATATTCCCAAATTTAAAATGTCAAAAATTCATTAATTCTTACTGGAGAACTTAATAATAATTAATGAGAATAGAGTAAACATTCGAAATAATTCCATACATAGAACTGAACATAATTTGACAAGATTAGAACCATATAAACAAATATCTTAAATTATTTTTCAGTAATTCTCCCATTTGAATCACATTATTGTAAAAATGAGAATGGGAAATATAGTCGTTATGGACCCTATCAAAAAATAAAAAATCAAATATGATGGCTTGATGTGATGTAAAACGGTCATATTTTTCATTTTAATAAGAAAATAATAGAGCTCAAACAGGTAACATGTCAATTTCACTATACACAAAATGTGTCACTCAATATCATATAAGACTTAAATGTGGTAATATCTACCTAATGGACGATCTTTTATCCATGATTCCGTGTGAATTGGGGAATCCTCAAACTTCTAACTGATTTGATACGCTTTGACAAGTATGAAAGAAGTTCTTATTCTTTTTTCCTTTATAAAATTGGAAAATTAGGTATCGTGTCAATTTTAAAGTTTTCAACTTTGAAATGAAAATAATTGACAAAAACAACTTGAAAAGGAAATATAGATAATATAATTAAATAAATATTAAAACAAGTGAATGTGCATTGAAATGTCACCAACGAATAGCCTACCCAACCACTAACTTTGCCAGTCAATCAACTTCTGTCAAACTAAACCAATATTGAAATTACAGGTAATCTTCCCAAGTTACAACAAAAATAAAGCATAAACAATCAATTCCTTATTTAATTCTCTCCTATTTCTTGAAACTAAAGCATTTCTTGATGGCATTTCATCATAGAAAATTTTTGTCAATAGATAAGAAGCCTAAGGATGAAAAGAAATATGCAACTTGTGACACTTGTTATGTTTACTTTTCACCGCCACCACCACAACTGCCATTGTCGCAGCCTCCACTGCTGCCTCCGCCACTGCCACGACCACCTCTACCTCCTCCGGCTAGCCCAAAATATCATATGCCAACAATTTTAGTCCTCGTCATCTGTGTTCTTGGTGCAACTTTTATAGTTATTTCCTATCTTTCTATAAGGAGATATCGGTTGAGAAATTCCAGGAGGAATAATTCAGGACCATTGGAGAATAGTGCCCGAGAGGATTTTATCGATGAAGATCAAGGGCCTGTGGTTGACCATCCTATATGGTATATACGTACAGTTGGGCTACATCAGTCGATAATCGATTCTATAGCGGTTTTTAAGTACAAAAGTGGTGAAGGTTTGATTGAAGGTACTGATTGTTCTATTTGCTTAACTGGATTTCAAGAAAATGAGAGTCTTAGGTTGTTGCCCAAGTGTAGCCATGCTTTTCATGTCCCATGTATCGATACCTGGTTAAGGTCAAATAAACATTGTCCCCTTTGTCGTGCCCCGATAGTCAGCAATACGAATGCTGCAGATCAGACGAATGAAATGGACAGTCATTCGAGTAATTTGGGTTCACAAGAGGAAGAACAAATAATAGAAGAACACGAAGTAGCAGTGAATTTAACTGGTGAAACAAGAATTGGGGCAGAAAATATTGGTGTTAGTATCAATGCTAGGGGTGGCAAGGGTCATGTACTAAGTGATTTGGCTGATCATCGTGCAACAATGGATCGGACGTTGCAACAAACAGTTAGAAGATCGATTTCTATGGATTTTTCATCTACTTCGATGATCCGTAATGCTGCTAATGGTCGTGCAAATAAAGAAGAACAAAATCCTTATGTGGCATCGAGCATATATAGGCCGATAAAGAGTCATTCGTATAGGTGTTCCATTCAAAAAGTGTCAGTTTCAATGAAGAGATCCTTTTCGTTTAACTCAAACACTTAGTACTAACAATTGAGTTTTCTTAATTGTTCCAGGTAATTACTGCATAGTGCTTCACGATGTTTAGCATGGAATTTTCGAATTCCCACTTGTATAAAATACAGCATGACTTTATTGAAAGGATAGAATAACGATGTCGAATTGAGGTGGTTCTATCTGATAGTAGTACGTGCTATTTTTAATTCAAGTTTCGGTACTATTAAAATCATGTACTTGTTCAGATTTTAATAAAATATAAAATTAATGGAAGTATTTGATTAACATATGACCTAAATTCTTATTAATTTAAGGGTTATACTTGAGAGTTGAAATAAAGTAGTCATTGTAGATACTGTCTTCATCCTCCTTGGCAACTCAGTTTGATGGTTTATTATTATTATTATTATTATTATTATTATTATTATTATTATAGCTCAGCCCACAGTCATACTGTTTAAGATTTTAAAGAAGCAGTGTAGAGAATTTTTGTTGGTTGATTTCCAACGGAAAGCAAAATTTAATCACTATAAAGAACGAAGTTTAAGATAAAGAAAGAAAGCACCTTAAAAAATAAAAATTTCCACATAAATTTAGAGCGATCGTCATCCATGTTCCCTGAGTAGCTTCACCTCTGACTTAATACAGTTTTGTCCTGTTCAACTTATTAACATACCTCAAGGTATTTGTTTTATTTAGAATTTAAGATCTCCAATTTAAAAATCCCTCATGTTTGGCTGAGCTTAAATATTTACTTCTAAGTAAATAAAAAAAGTTCAATAAGTAAGTTGTATCTAAACATGTTTGGAATTAAGAGTTGCTCAAAAGCAAATTTTAGCGGATAAACATGTTATAAGCACAGTAAGCCTAAATCAAGCTGCTTTACCTGAGGCACCAGTTCATTTACCTTATATTACAACAATTATTCAAATGTATATTTATTTAACCTATGAGGGTTGAAAGTAGATAAGAATTCTCGCGACACAACCCTGTTTCGGCTTAGAAAGGCTCAATACAACCCGTTTACCAATGAGAATCATGCCAGAATTTTTTTCACTGAACATTTGACGGTGAGTGGATGAAATTACCTTTTTACAATGGAAGGTGAAAATGAGGGTGAAATTGTCAAAAATGAAAGGTGGAGGCATTTTGCACAAAAACATTTAAAGGTGGAGGTGTTATAATGAGAAAACAAATCTTGATGTAACATTCTTAATTAGGTAGGGTTATGAAACTACACTATGGTAACGTCTGAAAGAGTGCTAAAGGTAAAGAGAGGTGCAGTTGCAACTTTGGTAAAGGATTATTGACTCGATTAGATCGTGTCTTGTCCATTTCCCTCTTTTGAAATATTTACAATGTTCGAAATTTTTATTCTTCTCCAAAAGAATATTTTGCAGTAATTGTGTATATTACTTACATATGATCATTTGATATGAAGATTTTTAAAAGTTTCTATCTAAGAAATAGGTTATCAAAATTGGCCATTTCAAGACATACACACGGACCTCAATTTTTTCTTCTATTGACTAAGAAAGTGAGTTCAATGGTTAAAAATTTCTACATAAAATTGTTGAAAGTGTTTTCCATGGTACAAATTACAAAAGTTAAAGATTGTATATATTTTCATATGTAAGTTTTCAAATACTAGTAATAACAAATTTTTTGTGAGAGCTCCCTATAGTGAAAAATACATGATTTGAATCAATATAAGCTTTTGTGAAGGGAAAAATTCGTAATATAAGCTTCATTGGTAAGAGTCAAATCATGTATTTTTCACTATATTTCCCTTCACAATATTGAATCAAATCAGACTTACCACTTTTGTGAAGGGAAAAATTCATAATTAAGAAGTTAAGTATCACCAATTTCAAAACTAAGAACAAATATTTCAAATTTCAAAAATTCAATATTTATTAAAATTTATTTATGATTTAATTAATTAATTATCTATTATATATTTAATTAATTAAATATAATTAAGGATACAAATATATACAATTTGATCACAAATTAACGATTTAATTAATCACAATTATTTTTCAGTTACAAGTCAAAATTTGTATATGTTACAAATTATTTTACAGTCACAAATCAAAAATATAATTTACAATTTATTTATAGATCACAAATATTATTAGTAACAACTTATTATATAGTTACAAATTATCGACCACAAATTAACAATTTTTAAAGTCACGTGTTATTTTTTTGTCATAATTTATCTTTTTTATTAGTCACATATTATTTATTGATCACAGATTAACCAATATAATTGTCACAATCAACCAACTAATTTGTGACCACCACCAACACAACCACAACCTCACTATTGCCTCCAGCAGCACACCACCATCTTACTACTGCCTTTATCAGCAACAGCAGCACCACTACCACTACCCTCATCGTTAGAACCACCATCATCTCAAACAAGTTAACACATCACATAAAACACCACCACTTCGTCACACCAAATCCACCACTATCTTGACAAATCTATCGCCACCAACATCTCACCATCACCATTGCAATCACTGCCACTGCTAAATCCACGACCACCATTACTACCAAATTCTACACCACCACCACTACCAAAAGCTACCCCACAACTCCAGCTAAGCTGATCCCCAAAACCACGGCCAAAGCCCTAAAACATGGAAACCATCGCCGCACTACTACCATTCTTACAACCAAAAAATACCAACAGAATAGAAAGATAAGCAATATTTTTATTTTCCACGAACATTCACCAAAAAATATGAACACAAAATGTCTGCTAAGCATTCATCGATGTCAGCTAACAAAGAACAAGTCATCGTAAAACACTGTTTGAGAGAGGATAACAAAGGCCACACCCAGATCGACAATTGACAACTAGTTTGCAGTCATGCTATACTACTCATGACCAGTGTTGATATTGAAGAGTCTGGAAGACAGATGCAATACCATCATCGTTATTGAAGGAAGGACCTCCAAAAACCATTGGTCTTGTACGCAACGCCTAGCTTCACGAGGTGGTCCTGAGTAGAGGTGGGCGCGGGTTGGTTCGGTTCGGTTCTAAAGAGAATTGAATCGAATCAAAATTTTCGGGTATCTAGTAAATGGAACTGTCCGGTCCAAATATAATTATGGAACCGCTTGGGTCCGATTTTGTTCGGTTCAGTTCGGTTCCATACTAGAATTAAATTTTTTAACATTTATTACAACATTATATAAATACAACTAATGACACATTCAATGATTTTGGAATGTCAGAGACTAGTAAACTACCTTGTTCAAATGATCGCTAAAGTCAAAGTTTCAGTCGACGGGGGTCACAGCATCGACTATTGATCACAGATTAACCAATATAATTGTCACAATCAACCAACTAATTTGTGACCACCACCAACACAACCACAACCTCACTATTGCCTCCAGCAGCACACCACCATCTTACCACTGCCTTTATCAGCAACAGCAGCACCACTACCACTACCGTCATCGTTAGAACCACCACCATCTTAAACAAGTTAACACATCACATAAAACACCACCACTTCGTCACACCAAATCCACCACTATCTTGACAAATCTATCGCCACCAACATCTCACCATCACCATTGCAATCACTGCCACTGCTAAATCCACGACCACCATTACTACCAAATTCTACACCACCACCACTACCAAAAGCTACCCCACAACTCCAGCTAAGCTGATCCCCAAAACCACGGCCAAAGCCCTAAAACATGGAAACCATCGCCGCACTACTACCATTCTTACAACCAAAAAATACCAACAGAATAGAAAGATAAGCAATATTTTTATTTTCCACGAACATTCACCAAAAAATATGAACACAAAATGTCTGCTAAGCATTCATCGATGTCAGCTAACAAAGAACAAGTCATCGTAAAACACTGATTGAGAGAGGATAACAAAGGCCACGCCCAGATCGACAATTGACAACTAGTTTGCAGTCATGCTATACTACTCATGACCAGTGTTGATATTGAAGAGTCTGGAAGGCAGATGCAATACCATCATCGTTATTGAAGGAAGGACCTCCAAAAACCATTGGTCTTGTACGCAACGCCTAGCTTCACGAGGTGGTCCTGAGTAGAGGTGGGCGCGGGTTGGTTCGGTTCGGTTCGGTTCTAAAGAGAATTGAATCGAATCAAAATTTTCGGGTATCTAGTAAATGGAACCGTCCGGTCCAAATATAATTATGGAACCGCTTGGGTCCGGTTTTGTTCGGTTCAGTTCGGTTCCATACTAGAATTAAATTTTTTAACATTTATAACAACATTATATAAATACAACTAATGACACATTCAATGATTTTGGAATGTCAGAGACTAGTAAACTACCTTGTTCAAATGATCGCTAAAGTCAAAGTTTCAGTCGACGGATGTCACAGCATCGATCGACAATTGTATAGGTTTTGGAATGTCAGCGAGGCTGCGAGAGTGAGCGCGAGAGTCGAGACAGCGTTATACACTTTAGTGTAGGTGTTTAGGGTTATTTAGCAGGTTGAATCTTGTTGGGCTAAGAAATGAAACAATAAAATGGGTAATTGGGCCAAAAATTAAAAAATTAGAAATGAAACAAATTATTAGACCAAAAATTTGGATTTAGAAATTGTTAATTTATTAATTTGTTTAGAAAAATTAAAATTAAAATAATTTGATTTATTCAATATAAAAAAAATTATAAAGATTCGGTTCTTATTTGGTTCTTGGTCTAGAACCGAAAATCGAACCATACCTATCGGTTCTTAATTCAGATACCTGTTCGGGTATTTAATTTGACAAGAACCATCGGATTCGGTTCATTCGGTTCGGTTCAGGAGATTTGCCCAGCCCTAGTCCTGAGTTTAGCTGCATTGCATGCATTGGTCCTACGTGTGGTTGCGATGGTCGATTTTTTGCGACGATCAATAATGTTGGGTTTCTAGTAGAAGAGATAAGAGAGTTAAGCAATATAAAGAGTTTCCAGATTTTTAATGAGAGAGGGTGAGATGCAGATACTAATCCAATGTCTCGCTTCAATGTTGAAGATTGGTGTATTGTCGGAGGAGAGAGAAGGGGACGTGTATTGCTGAAGAAAAGAGAGGGAGAGAAAACCGAAATTATAGAAAGAAGAAAATGGAGGATAATTTAGGGTTTGGGTGGGTTTATAATTATTAATATTTTAAATATATTAATTAATTAACAAAATTTCTGATTTTTAAAATAATAAACCTAGTCTATGATTTATGAAATGAAATCTCTAAATATCTTGCTTCATTAAATTTCCTCTTTTGTGAAAGGTTATTAGGTCGATAGTGGTCTAATCGTAGCATAGACATACTAGAGCCCAACTTGGCTATTGGGCGACCCCTTTCAATTTAACCCTTTTCAATCTAAGGACCTCCTTCTTATTTTAGCACTTTTAACCATGTGAATTATCCATAATGTGAAGAAAAGGTTTTTAAAGATAGTTTGACATAACTTTTGAAAAGTCAAAAGGAGTTTTTGAGATCGAAAAATAGTTTTTGGACTTGTTTGGCTAATTTTACGAAAATACTTTCGCTTATTAAAAGAACTTTTAGAGAAAACTAATCCAATATAAGAAGTGCTTATAAAAATTAATTTTCAAGTAAAAATTAAAGTAATTTCGTTAAAAAGCTCTATAAAAAGCAAAAGTCGTAAACGAATTATAAGAATGTATTTGATCGCGAATATGAAATTTGCATGAAATAAAATAAATTCTAGCCTCAATTGCCTACAACTTATTTGTCTAAAAATTATTAATTCTACGTGTATGATTGATTTAATTTTTAGCCTATAAAATATTATATTTGTTCAATTTTTATTGGTAGATAAATGAGAATGATGAAGTATATGAGAGAGAGAAGAGATACTGAATTATATGGAAAATAAAAATCTATTACTAAAAAAATGTTTTCTTATTTTTGAGAAAAATATGGTCAAATGATCAAAAGTTCAAAAATATTTTTTACGGAAAAAATTATCAACTTAACCCTCAAAAAGTAAAAATTTCGATGAAAAAATAAAGTCAAGCAAACTCTAACTATAAGGCTCTAAAAGGTGGGTAATGCCTTCCAGGTTGGTACCCACGACCTCCCTTGTAGAAAAGAAGAAGGAAAGATTTTGAGTCCCATTTTTTGAAAAAAATACATTTTTAAACAGTGATTCGATATTATTTTAACCACACATTTTTCAATAAAATGATATTATACACTATTCAAAAATACACTTTTATGAAAATAATGTGGCTCAAACAAGGGTTAATTCTTAGAAATGACTTCAAAGTGAAAAAAATAAAATAAAAAAATTAATAGAAATTTTAACAATAAAAAAAATAAAAAATCTTAAACTAAGGGCCGTTTGGTAGGAATTTTGAGAATTGATTTTTTGACCGTTAGAAGAAAAGTGGGGTCCATATGTGAAAGAAAAAGTCAAAAATTACGGCTTGAATAGTAAAATAACGATCAAAAAATCAATTTTTTGGGACAAAAAATCCCTACAAATAGGGCCTAATATTTTTCGTTTAATCTGCCCAACAAATTTTTCTCTGTGTCAGAAACATCCCTCAATCACCATAGACGTTAGTAATCTGATTTAGGAGACAGCGTTATACACTTTAGTGTAGGTGTTTAGGGTTATTTAGCAGGTTGAATCTTGTTGGGCTAAGAAATGAAACAATAAAATGGGTAATTGGGCCAAAAATTAAAAAATTAGAAATGAAACAAATTATTAGACAAAAAATTTGGATTTAGAAATTGTTAATTTATTAATTTGTTTAGAAAAATTAAAATTAAAATAATTTGATTTATTCAATATAAAAAAAAATTATAAAGATTCGGTTCTTATTTGGTTCTTGGTCTAGAACCGAAAATCGAACCATACCTATCGGTTCTTAATTCAGATACCTGTTCGGGTATTTAATTTAACAAGAACCATCGGGTTCGGTTCAGTCGGTTCGGTTCAGGAGATTTGCCCAGCCCTAGTCCTGAGTTTAGCTGCATTGCATGCATTGGTCCTACGTGTGGTTGCGATGGTCGATTTTTTGCGACGATCAATAATGTTGGGTTTCTAGTAGAAGAGATAAGAGAGTTAAGCGATATAAAGAGTTTCCAGATTTTTAATGAGAGAGGGTGAGATGTAGATACTAATCCAATGTCTCGCTTCAATGTTGAAGATTGGTGTATTGTCGGAGAAGAGAGAAGGGGACGTGTATTGCTGAAAAAAAGAGAGGGAGAGAAAACCAAAATTATAGAAAGAAGAAAATGGAGGATAATTTAGGGTTTGGGTGGGTTTATAATTATTAATATTTTAAATATATTAATTAATTAACAAAATTTCTGATTTTTAAAATAATAAACCTAGTCTATGATTTATGAAATGAAATCTCTAAATATCTTGCTTCATTAAATTTCCTCTTTTGTGAAAGGTTATTAGGTCGATAGTGGTCTAATCGTAGCATAGACATACTAGAGCCCAACTTGGCTATTGGGCGACCCCTTTCAATTTAACCCTTTTCAATCTAAGGACCTCCTTCTTATTTTAGCACTTTTAACCATGTGAATTATCCATAATGTGAAGAAAAGGTTTTTAAAGATAGTTTGACATAACTTTTGAAAAGTCAAAAGGAGTTTTTGAGATCGAAAAATAGTTTTTGGACTTGTTTGGCTAATTTTACGAAAATACTTTCGCTTATTAAAAGAACTTTTAGAGAAAACTAATCCAATATAAGAAGTGCTTATAAAAATTAATTTTCAAGTAAAAATTAAAGTAATTTCGTTAAAAAGCTCTATAAAAAGCAAAAGTCGTAAACGAATTATAAGAATGTATTTGATCGCGAATATGAAATTTGCATGAAATAAAATAAATTCTAGCCTCAATTGCCTACAACTTATTTGTCTAAAAATTATTAATTCTACGTGTATGATTGATTTAATTTTTAGCCTATAAAATATTATATTTGTTCAATTTTTATTGGTAGATAAATGAGAATGATGAAGTATATGAGAGAGAGAAGAGATACTGAATTATATGGAAAATAAAAATCTATTACTAAAAAAATGTTTTCTTATTTTTGAGAAAAATATGGTCAAATGATCAAAAGTTCAAAAATATTTTTTACGGAAAAAATTATCAACTTAACCCTCAAAAAGTAAAAATTTCGATGAAAAAATAAAGTCAAGCAAACTCTAACTATAAGGCTCTAAAAGGTGGGTAATGCCTTCCAGGTTGGTACCCACGACCTCCCTTGTAGAAAAGAAGAAGGAAAGATTTTGAGCCCCATTTTTTGAAAAAAATACATTTTTAAACAGTGATTCGATATTATTTTAACCACACATTTTTCAATAAAATGATATTATACACTATTCAAAAATACACTTTTATGAAAATAATGTGGCTCAAACAAGGGTTAATTCTTAGAAATGACTTCAAAGTGAAAAAAATAAAATAAAATAATTAATAGAAATTTTAACAATAAAAAAAATAAAAAATCTTAAACTAAGGGCCCGTTTGGTAGGAATTTTGAGAATTGATTTTTTGACCGTTAGAAGAAAAGTGGGGTCCATATGTGAAAGAAAAAGTCAAAAATTACGACTTGAATAGTAAAATAACGGTCAAAAAATCAATTTTTTGGACAAAAAATCCCTACCAAATAAGGCCTAATATTTTTCGTTTAATCTGCCCAACAAATTTTTCTCTGTATCAGAAACATCCCTCAATCACCATAGACGTTAGTAATCTGATTTAATCTGCTTCTACAGAAAAATGCTTCACAGAATTTAGTCATCTTCCCTCAATTCCTTTAGTTCAGTTACTCTGTTTTCATCCCCTCTGTCGATTGGGTCCCCGTACCCTCGAAGAGGTATCATATTTGTTTAATTGTTTTACAGTATTATGTTATGTTCTAGATTTTGGTTTTCTGAATCTGATTTTGGGTTTTGGTATAGGGTTTGGGGGCCTCTCAGGGACTCTGCTATTAGCCATTATCCCAACACGCCGGGCGCTCCTTCTGTCACTTATTCTTGCTTTATGGTAACTTTTTCATTCATGAAGCATTATTATTTTGTTCATGTTTTGGATTTTTATTTGACACGTATGATATATGATTATTTCACTTCGAAGCTGAAGTTTTTGTTTTCTTGGTTCTTTCGTCTTGTATGATGTAAGGGTTTGTTTTGACTGTGCTCATTAGCTGAAGAACTTGATGTTACCGACTTTAAGTGTTTTGCCTGTACTGAATTTCTTGTTGATTAGCCTTAGCTGGAGTCTTTACAGACTTTCTACTAAAATTGTGATCAATGCTTATTGTCATTTTTGCTTTTACTTAGATTAGCATGCATCCTTTTGAAATTTAAACGAGCCCAACTAAGATAATGCATGCATTGGGAATCCCTTTTCTTTGTGAGCTTGTCTTCAGATTGGGGTTTCACAGCATTGACTACATTGGATTCAATTGAGAATCTGTTGGAACTGCCCAAAATGATGTGTACAAAACTATTTATCACTCTTGCACCACAGGATGTGACAGTACTGATCCAAACTTTGAGCTCTGATGGGTATGCTCAAATGTTTGACAAACATTTTCTTTCACTTCTTTCTCAGCTAGCTAATCTTCATAAAAGTTCCACGTAATTCATGGACATAGCATGAAACTTGAATGTCCTGATTTTCTCTGTCAAAACTTATGCCACCATAAACTTTGTGGTGTGAAATTGGTCTTTTTCTATTTTGTTTTATAGATGCCTTTAATATGGACTCTGTGACTCATGAAACTGAAATTTTCAAGAGGATATTGTGTAATAATAGAACTGAAATAGCGAACCATAGGAGATGTGAAATGACAAGATACCCTCAATATCAGGTCAGATTAATAGTCCGTATTGATTATGGCATCAACCTGATAAATGTGGTATTCTAGATACATTTCTCAATTTGGAGGCTGGAATTTGGTAGTTACTGTGTATAAAGGTTGGGAGTTTTGTTAATGAGAGGGCTGTTTTTAGATGAATCATTGTATGATTTTCATGACATACAATTATTTTGACATTTTTGTTTTGCAGGGGATTTGTCGGTTGTTTGGATTTAGCCCGTTCGGGTATTTAATTTGACAAGAATCGTCGGGTTCGGTTCAGTTCGGTTCGGGTTCGGTTCGATCGGTTCGGTTCAGGAGATTTGCCCAGCCCTAGTCCTGAGTTTAGCTGCATTGCATGCATTGGTCCTACGTGTGGTTGCGATGGTCGATTTTTTGCGACGATCAATAATGTTGGGTTTCTAGTAGAAGAGATAAGAGAGTTAAGCGATATAAAGAGTTTCCAGATTTTTAATGAGAGAGGGTGAGATGTAGATACTAATCCAATGTCTCGCTTCAATGTTGAAGATTGGTGTATTGTCGGAGAAGAGAGAAGGGGACGTGTATTGCTGAAAAAAAGAGAGGGAGAGAAAACCAAAATTATAGAAAGAAGAAAATGGAGGATAATTTAGGGTTTGGGTGGGTTTATAATTATTAATATTTTAAATATATTAATTAATTAACAAAATTTCTGATTTTTAAAATAATAAACCTAGTCTATGATTTATGAAATGAAATCTCTAAATATCTTGCTTCATTAAATTTCCTCTTTTGTGAAAGGTTATTAGGTCGATAGTGGTCTAATCGTAGCATAGACATACTAGAGCCCAACTTGGCTATTGGGCGACCCCTTTCAATTTAACCCTTTTCAATCTAAGGACCTCCTTCTTATTTTAGCACTTTTAACTATGTGAATTATCCATACTGTGAAGAAAAGGTTTTTAAAGATAGTCTGACATAACTTTTGAAAAGTCAAAAAGAGTTTTTGAGATCGAAAAATAGTTTTTGGACTTGTTTGGCTAATTTTACGAAAATACTTTCAAGAACTGAAATAGCGAACCATAGGAGATGTGAAATGACAAGATACCCTCAATATCAGGTCAGATTAATAGTCCGTATTGATTATGGCATCAACCTGATAAATGTGGTATTCTAGATACATTTCTCAATTTGGAGGCTGGAATTTGGTAGTTACTGTGTATAAAGGTTGGGAGTTTTGTTAATGAGAGGGCTGTTTTTAGATGGATCATTGTATGATTTTCATGACATACAATTATTTTGACATTTTTGTTTTGCAGGGGATTTGTCGGTTGTTTGGATTTAGAGTTATTTTGTTGTTTGCATAATTTGAACAGAGAAGCTAAGTTGAGATTGCAACGACCCAAATTTTTACCTTTGGAATCATTATACATGTATCGTAAAATAATACTTTCATAAATAATGAAAAAAAACATAATATCTTTTGAATGTGAAAGGTTTAAAACAAATTTTAAAGAAAATACAATAAACATCGTTAAAAATCTTTAACTACTTAAATCATTATTCATTTTCAACCACGCAAGTACAATCCACCTCCGATCCCCTTGAACCCGCCTCTTTTAATTACCTATAAAATATTTAACATATACATGTGAGACATAAATCTCAGTAAATGAGTAATAACGAATTTTCATCTCATTTTTAATTACGGAAAATCATAACATACATATGGAGACACGAGAATTAAAATCCGAACTTCGTGGCTATAATTCCCATGCATAACGTTACTAAACTCTGATCCTTTCAACTTACACATATAGGACCTTTATCATAATCATAGCTAGAATTTTAGTATCATCATATTTATAATATAAATTTTCATAATTTAAATAATGAAAGAACAATTCGTACTACTACACTTACCTTTCACTTGATAATTCAAAAATGATAGAAGTGATTGTTAGAGGGATATCCTTGAGCCGCGTGCTGGGTTGTGTGATTTTGTAAGTGTATGACTAAATTTAATATGAAAAAGACGTGAAAGATTAAAGGTATAGAGACAAAGTGATAGCGAGAGAGAGAAAGAGTGTAAATAATTGGTGAGGCATAGTCCAATGTTAAGTTTAACTCCTATTTATAATGCAAGTTCTTGGACCATGTATAGAAAATTGAAAGAAAATGGCTAGATGTTAGGCATGGTCAAAGCATAATTAGTGCATTATTTTGAAAGTTGTCAAATCAATTCTTTTAATCATGTGATCAAATTAATTGACTTGGCTTGAATCTTGGTGTAAATAATGCATGTGGTCAAATAAATCATTTTTAATCATGGCTAATTGACATATTTACATATAATTTCATTTAACTTCCAATTTAACTCTTTACTTAGGTCCTCAAACTATTGGCTAATAATTAATAAGGTCATTTAACTAAGTTAATAACCAATAAGGTCATTATACTTTAATAATGGCGCACTTAAGTCTTAATTTTTTTCTAACGCCTAGTAATAAAAATTCGGGATATTATAAAGATGGGCATAATTGTTTAGTTAGAGTTGCTCTAGCTTATTAGGATTACTAGCAAATATTGTAATAATTGTTACACTCTTAGCTGGGCAAATGAAACAACTCAAAAATTCGGAAAGAGAAATAAAAATGGGTTGGCTACATTGTTTTCACAAGTGAACTAGACTTATACCTTGAGGTGCACCTGATTTTAAACCTCCATTCAGAGCCTCAAAGCTTACTTTTTTACTGCTTCACACTTTTCATTATTGGGTTTGACCTTTTTTGATCGTTTGTATAGGCTAGAACATTATAAGGGTGTTGTGAGGTATTTTAAAGTTAAAACAGCCTTCAAAACTTCAAAAAAAAAAGAAAAGAAGATCTGAAAATTAGATAGGAGAACAAGAGGTATTTTTTGATGATTGTTGGTGTGGAGAGGAACGAATTAGGGTGAGGTTTCCCTCTTTGCATCATATCGCTCTGGTGCCGTCTACTAAGGTGAGTGAGGTCTTAGATATAAATAACGGAAGTCTCAATTGGAATATTATTTTTGGGTAGGGATTGCAGGATTGAGAAATGGATGGTTATGCGTCACTTCTGGCATCTTTGTATGAGGTGCGGATTAGGATAGGAGAGGGGGATTGTAGCAGGTGGAGGTTGACTCATGATGGTATCTTCTCAGTCAGAACATATTTTAGATCCTTATTGGGACATGTGGAGACTTCATTTCCTTGGAAGATGGTATGAAAATGTAAGTTGCCTCAAAGGGTGACATTTTTACTATAGGTGGTTGTCAGAGGACAAGTGTTAATGGTAGATAATCTCCGAATAAGGGATTTTTATTTTACAGAGTGGTGCTATATGTATAAAAGGGATGCAGAGACAATTGATCACTTGTTCCTTCATTGTGATGCTGCTCGTTTGCTGTGGAACGATATTCTAGCGTCTTAACACATGAAATGGGTGTTTTCGTGACGTATGGAAGATGTGTTAAAGGCATGGAGGAGAAAGTTCCACAATAAGGATAACAAGCTTGTATGAGACCTTATTTCGTGTTGCATCGTATGGTGTATGTGAAGAGAGAGGAACAACTGCTGCTTTGATGATTAAACACGGATAACAGAGTAGATTAGAGAATTGTTTTATTTGAGATTGTATAGTTGGTTTAACGCTACATCTCCTAGGCAAATAAACGAGTTGCCCAATTTCAAGTTGTTTCTTTCATATTTAAATTGATAATACACTTTTTGTGTATTACGCATTGATTAATAAAATACTTGATTACTTTTTAAAAAAAAAAAAAATTCTAGATAATGATAAAAATTTAAATAATGACTAAATTCTAGATAATGACAAATATTAAAAAGTCTTAATTGAAATTGAATTCCAAATTTATTCAAGGAAGAAATACAAACTAAAAGATAATTAAAAATTTCTAATTGTAAAGAAAATATAAAACATAAATAAAAATTGCATAAGTTAAATTGAACCAGTCATTCTTTCGATCCTGATCATTCTCCTCTAATCGATAAGATTCGTCCTCGAATTTTATACCATGTTATCATCTAAAGTCATATAATGATCGTAATTTACCATAATTTACTTGGTAAATTTACAGGGGCACACCATAGAAAACTCTTCAAACGAATGTTGAATTATAACAAGCATCTCAAGATTTACGGGCTCTCTTGTATGACACTTAAAGACCAACCTTTATTTCTTTAGAGACCTATCACAGATATTGATATCAGGCTCTTCATAGAAACTAGGTGGACCGATGTAACTGTACTATTACAAATTCATACATTCTTGAATTTCTTCATCAAAGATCGGAGGACTATCTTAACTAAAATTCAAAGATTCCACATTCAGATTAAAAGGGGCAAAAAGAGTTTTGTCCGAAAATAGAACTTATGCCATTGAATTTTACGAACGCAACCTCATCTCTATCAGGAACGTGGTTGGGCTTTAATACTACTAGATGTAGTTTGAAATAAGGAATGTATTGATTCATAAAGAATACTACAAATTTATAAATCAAATATTCATTGATTCTTTGCAAAGAATACAAAATTGTTGATCTGAATGAATACTGATTTAGGATTGACAAATGTGAAGAAATGCAATATTGATTCAGGCTTACATCCCTTATTTAAAACAAAATAATGATAACGACTTAAATCTAGATAATGATTAAATTTCAGGTAATGAAAAATATTTAAAAGTCCCAATCGCCATTGAATTTTGAATTTATCTACTAAGAAAACAATAACTAATTAATAAAAAAAAAAAACCTAATAGTAAATAGAATATAAAACATAGAAAAAACTTGTATGAATTAAATTGAAACTAGCAATAAATTCAATTTTCATCATATATACTAGTCTCGTATCATACAATAAAATGTGATAACCTCCATCCCTAGTGTGTATAATTTTTTAGTAGCACACGATTGGTAATAAATGGAGACCTTGGACATGTAAATTAGTTATTATTATTTTTGTATTTTGCTGGTTATTTTTACCCGTTTTTGTTTTCTTATCTCCGAATTTTTGAATGGAATACCGTGGTAAAAAAGGATTAATAGGCCTACCTTAATTTATTTAAAGCTTGTTGATTCCCAATTTTCCCAAAAACATTTCTCTCTCTTCGTTTCAACCAAACATTTTTCAATAAAATAATATTTTCATGCAAATTCAAAAATTTTATTTTTTAACCACACATTTTCCATCAATCTACTATTTCAAAATGCATTTTTCCAATTTAATAGGGCTCAAACAAATCCTTAAAATAGGAATAGTTTTTCGTACGTTTGTTGTTGATATTTGGATATTTTCTTTTGGAGAAAAATCAAGCAAAATTCTAAATAGTTGGTCCGTTGTTTCATTTGTTTTAAATTTTAGTATTAGTTTTTTTATTTCTTTTAATGCGATTACCACATTTTTTACTTATAATGTGCTACTTTGACGCCCTATTTAGCTTTTTTAATAACTGATTGGGTATTTCCGTTGTTTTCAACATACAAGCATGCCTCATGTGAATCCTTCGCTATTCACAAGACTTGCTCCGTAATTTAATGGAATGCTCGCTTCAACATACAAGCTTCTAGGTGATTGAGGTGTGATCTCCTTATCCTTGCCCTTGCTTTTTATACCAGTGGCTAGTTTTTTATAGCCTATAACATTTTAAAGGTGTTTTAAACCGTTCTGAACACAAATGAACCCTAAAAGACTATAACGAAAAGAATTGGAGATTAGAGAAAATAACTAGTGAAGAGCCATGTGTACCTCCAATATCTCAATTGTTCAATCAAAAGAAGTTTCAATTACTATTATATTTGTTTTAATGTTTTAGTTCTTCTTCTAGGTTAGTCGTCTTGTCTTGTGATTACTAGTTTTTTAATGTAACATTTGCTATTGATGTCAATTACATTTTATTTTTCGAGTTTGCAAATTGGACTTTTTATCTTGTTAAGATGTTCTATTACGGATTTTTTTTAACTTTTTGTAGTTTATTATTAATATATTTTGTACTTTTAATTGATTATATTATTTTTTTGGGTTTACCTTGAGGTTCACGGCTTGTGTGATAGAGGCAAATTCCTCGATACAACGAGGCACTTTATAAATCTGGTTGCTTGGTAAATGGCTACTAAAGTTTTTGTAAATTTGGGAAGAGGGTTGGAGTTTGTTGACTATCTAACCTAGTTCCGTCTAGGAACAACCTTGTCTTGAAACATTTAAGTAATTTAGGGCTGCAAGTTAGCTTTAGTAGCTTGATTTAAGCTCAGCTGAATTGGAGTGAGCCATTGGACAAAAATACTGACTTGTAGGCTCATGAGCTTTTTGTTAGTCTAGGTTTGTAAGATAGTAATGTTGTTTCATAATGATATTTCCCTCCATTACATCATCCTTTTGAAGAAGTAAAAGGGACACTGATAAAGAACATAATTGAACAAGAACAGCAAGTGATAAAGTTTTCAATGGACCAAAAATTCAGAAATTTGGCAGTCCTCAAATCCTTTGTTCATAAACTGGTGAAAATCAGTACCATTTTTAGATTGTGGGTTTAGTGCTTGTTTACTCCATTATCATATATTATTATTGAATTCTACGCTCTCTCTCTTTTTTTTTTTTAAATATTTTTCTTCTATAGATTAGATGTTTAATTTATGTGCACATTTTTATGAGTTTATTGTTACTTAGATTAGACACACACGCGCGCACACTCTCTTTGACTTGATTTTCAGAAAATTAGGACACAGACATGTCTAGATACGTCAATTAAAGTAATAATAAATTTTATATTTATTTTAAAAATTTTATAATGCAGAGTGAATCTAACATTTCATACTTGATGCATCAAAGTGTATATAAAATATATAACAAACTTGACACGAAGTTCATGGTTTTCTCATAGCATGGAGTTCAGCAAAACGAAAATGAAATAATTTCTATCATTTTACCTTGAGTTGCATCTCCAACATTTTCATCTGTGTCATCAGTGAAGTGTGCTGCCTCCAATACAGGTTTATGAGTTTATCTAGAGACAAATGGCATTTTTAAACACACTAACATTATCAACTGAATCAAATTTATTAGTTTTAATGTCCGACATCTTAGTCTCTCCTCGTATATAATATGGGTTCCTTTGTAATAGACAAAGATTTCTATAGAAGGAGACTAAATTCTTTGCACATGTTGGAGCTAGGGTATTCCTTTTAAGAGAATTCAAAAAGGAATAAGAATTGCATTTTCGCTTACAACACCGTGAAGACGTTTATACAAATAACTTCAAGATATTGTGTGAAGCATTGTTATATAAGCGCCATGAATGACCCATAAAGCCTTTAGGTCAACGTTGTAATGATCATTGATAGTACCAAAATCTGTGAATCACTCTATCAATTGATCACAATTCTCACTCCTTTTTCTATTGGCATGCCCTTAATAGGATGCTATATTGTTTCTATATTGGCCTTTCTCTCATTGAAGAATAGTAGCTCTCAAACTATATCCTAGAGGAAAGTGTTAATAGAATGCAAAAAGGAATAGTTACTCCATTTTCACTCTCAACACTATGGATGTCTGCACAAATCATTTCATGGGAATGTTTGAAGCATAGGTACATGAGCACCATGAAGGACCCACCAAGTCTTTAGGCCTATGTGATAATGATCGTAGATATTATTGAAGGCTGTGCGAGCTGATTGAGCAATTATTCACAATTCTCACTTTATTTTTATTTTGTTGCTTTAATAGATTGCAATAATCTTTCAACATTGACTTTCTTTATTTGGAAAAGAGCAACTCTCAACGAATTATATTCTGGGGGTAAACATCCTCACAAAGGGATATCAACACAAGAGTATAACAGACATTATTATGATTTATTGCTCAATAAAGAGCAGACTCTCTGAATGAACATTCTAGCAATTTCATCATGCAGCTATTTGTTGTCATATTAAAAGCTTTCTCAATTGTATTTCCACTTCCTCTAGCCTTTCTTTTCTTTTGCTTAGTTCTATGAAAATTAATATCAATTTTACTATTAATAAAATTTCTACCCAATGACAATGGTTCATTATTTATCATTCTTAATTTAGCCGCATCTTTCGCCTTTTGCATATTGCTTGTATCTTTTGTAGTTACTTTTGGACAAATCTCAATACCACATCGCGATAATTTTAAGGAATGTGCCCTTACTCATGCATATGATATTCTTAGCTGCATTTCAAAAATTGCATTGCCAGTTATCACCGCCTTCATTGAGTTATATCATATATTGTCACATATTTCTAAAGAGGTTTAGACATATTATCATCTACTCCCTATCGTGTTCTTGAGATGGAGATGGAAATTTTGAGGAAGCTGAAGTGAAATGCAAAACGAGCAGACTAAGAATCGAGGAAGACTAGTATGGTTCATGACAGCTTCTATACGTATGTATTATGCATTCTTTGCAATTTAAGGTTGGAAGGTTAAAATAGTTAAGTTTCGATTGGTTTTTCTTCCACGATTTTTTACTCTTGAAGTTGTTCTATGTTCAATTGTGTGCCCGTTCTTTTAAGTAAAGTTTGTTGCCTGTTTTTCATTTACCTTAAAAATTTGTGTCTTATATTATCAAATCACGCTTCTTAATTGTTTAGAAGCAGTGACAAAATGCAAGTACAATAAAAATTCCGTAATCCAGGAAAATTATCATATCGATTTTGTATCATTTTGGCGGCATGGCCGAGTGGTAAGGCAGAGGACGGCAAATCCTTTTTCCCCAGTTCAAATCCAGGTGTTCCCTGATCAACGGTCAAAGCATTCGGGAACTAGAAGAAAAACTCCAGGGACTACGCCAGGAGCAGCAGACACTGATCCTGGCGGCATACAATCGAAACGACTCCCGCTAGATAGCCGCCCCTTTATCTCTTTTTACAGCTTCGTGGACGAACGGCCTGATCCTTAATCTATTTTATATTAGATTTACATTACGAAATACTTTCGCGGAAATGGAACCTACAAACTAGGAAAAAGACTAGCTTATCTATCCACGCTAAAAAGGGAATCTTTAGCATTATGAGCCGGGACGCCCAACTTCTCCCGAACAGGCACAAGCGTGATTCAGGCAAGTCAAATGACGAATCATTTCAAAGAGATCGCGTTTCGGGATGCATGATGACTCCTGATTGTTATTCTGTCAACGATTCCGTCAAAGGTGAGAAGTTAGAAGAAGGAATTGAATTCTTTCTACGCCTGCTAGAGATGCTTTATCTAAAGATTACTTTCAAGTGGGGAGTGAATGAAAGTCGATACCGAAATCCTAGGCTCAAAAGCCACATTTTTCGAGATTAGGGTTTCTCTTCATTTAGCGCTATCCTCTTTCCTCCCTAACACATTTGGCACTAATTCTTTCCCTCTTCCACCTAGCAGCATCTCCTCTTCCGCCCAGCTGCCTCCTTCCTCTGATCATTTGCCATTTCCTCTTCAGGTTAGTATCCCCTTTTCCCATTTTGTTTTTGATTGTTTGAAATGCATTTGCCATTTCCAATATGTGGTGACCGGTTCAAAAAAATAATGAAACGTGACATGCCCATCTGTGTGTCGGACATATACCTGGTATGTATCCATGTCAGGTATCTGTCTGACAAGGACACTCCGGCTCCAGTGGCATGTCTGTGCTTACTAATTATTCTATCTAAAGAAATGGATTGTGACCATTAAGGCAATTGCATAGAGATTCACAAATCAATTGCCATCAAAGTTCTTAGTGTGGAATATATCAATATTGGGTTATCTGCTACTTATCCTTTCCACACTTGAATGCTCTAATATGTCCACATTGAATTTTCTAATAAAATTGGCATGCTGTTCTAGGTGAGATTTGAATAAGTTGATATTTGACTTGAGTTTTCATTTTTACCATCAAAACTGATGGCCAAGAATCATGTTATGTGTTGATTCTATAAGTAAACGTAGTTTTTGGAAAGTAGTTATTTTTGGAAATGGAGTATTATTTATGGACATCCCAGAAGGGAAATGAAGCATTCAATG